GCTGGAAGTGGAGCAGGGAGGGGGGAGGTGAAATACTTTATCCCCTCCAGGAAAAACATGGAAGAGATCTTGGCTCTGCACTGGAGGGACTGAGCCGAGCGGCCCCAGCCCCGACCCCCCGCCCCATAAATCCCCTCGGATCCACCCACTGTCAAAGGAAACACCTTTCCTGCAAGAGGCCTGTCCACAGCACAGGGAAGGCGTTGGTGTCCCCAACCCAACAGCCAGGGCCACACCAAGGCTGCCACTGTCACTCCAGAGCCCCTCAGAGCCCCCCAACAGTGGGGACGGTGCAGGTGGGGATGGGCCACCAGCGCCTTTCTCCTTAGTAGTTTCCTGTGGCTTTGGGATGGGAGGATGGGAACGTCTTGGGGTGGTTGTGAGGATGGATGGACTTGGATGGGCACTGTGAGAGCCAGTGCTGGCTCAGGGGTACACGGCACAGCCAAAATGTGGGGGTGCTGCAGCAGTGGGATGGAATGGGATGGGATGGGATGGGATGGGATGGGATGGGATGGGATGGGACAGCAGCACGAGGCCTCTTTGCATTCCTGCAGGGAAGAGCCAGGACCAACTGACCCTCAGCAGAGAGACTGAAAACAGCTCCCAGAAGGTGGGGAGAGAAGTGTGGATTGGGATGGACACTGCCCAACACCAAACGGCTGCTGGGACAGCAGGAAGGGCTCCCCAGCTGGGGTTTGCTCCCAGCAGGAAATGGTTGGGGACACCAGCCTGGAGCTCACACTCGGGGACAGGGGCTGGGACACAGATCCTCTTCACTGACTAATTCCACACGCTCCCTTGGGCAGTTTGTCTTCCCAAAGCCCTGATACCCAACGGGGAACATCCTCCTTGGCTCCCGTGCTGCTCGGGACACTCCGGCCCTCGCCGCCGGCCGGGAGCACCCGGCAGCCATCCAAGGGCTTTATCAACTGGCACCCAAAAGTCAATAAGGAAGATGCCGCCTGTTTTAATTAACAGCAATTTCGCTCCGACGGGGGCGAGATGATGATGTGCCGGGGGGGAGGGAGGCCAGAGACAAAACATGACCTTGTTGGCGCAGCGCACACAGCGGGACATTGTTTTCCCCCCCTCGGAGACTGGCCTTGATCCTGCCTGGGCTCCGGGGCACAGCTGGGTGCCGGGGGGACGGGGGCTCTGCTGGGAGCAGGGTGCAAGAGGGCCTGGAAGGTTCCAAGTCCAAAGGGATCGGGACGTGGCACTCAGGAGTGCGAGCAGGGAATGTCGGCGGCTTGGACCGGCACAAAACGGGTCTGGATTTTGGGAGCCCCCAGTGAGGCCCAGCTGTGCCTGAGTGCCATGGGAGTGAATCCCCCACTGGCGCTGCTGGAGATCCCTGGCAGCACAGGGACGCTGCAGGGCCCTCAGCAGAATCAGCATCCACTTGAGTTTAGTCCTATTTTCCTTTCTCCTGAGCTCTCCTATTCCGGGAAAGCAGAGAAGAGGAACACCCAGAGGGGGAAAAACCTCCCTGTGTGTGTGCCAGGGTGCTCGGTGGGGCAGGGAGCCGGGGTGTGACCCATTGCACAACCTGTCCCCACAGCAGGACCCTCGGGGAACTGCTGGGGCTGCGGTGAGAGGGACCCTGGGGGGAGCAAGACCCTGGGGGGAGCAGGACCCTGGGGGAAGTGGGACCCTGGGGGGAGCAGGACTCCGGAGTGAGCAGGATTGAGATGACCTGCACCATGGTGTTGTCCTGGAGGTGACAGGGAAGGGACAAGTGGCACCGTGGGACACTCCCAGGGTGATTGGGATGGGACGAGGAGCACCCCAGGGGTGCTGGGGATGGGGGGCACAGGCACCCAGGGGTGCTGGGGCTGCAGGCAGAGGCACCCCAAGGGTGTCAGGGATGGGGTGAGCAGCACCCCAGGGATGATGGGGCTTGGATAAGCACCCCCCATGCAGGGGAGAGGGGGTACTGGGCGGGGGGGGGGCTCCCCACCACCCCCACCCCCCGCCTCCCCTCACCCCACCGCGGCTGCCCCGAACCCCGGGGGTCGCACAGGAGGGACGGGGGGCTCGGCGGCCGCCAGAATCCCCCCGCCCTCCCCCGGTCCCCGGCGGGGCGGTGGCTCCATCGCGGTCCCCCCGCCCCCGGGGCGGGCTCGGCACCGTCCCGCCCCCGCCCCGCGCCTTATCAGCGGCGGGCGGGGGGCTCGCCCCACTCCCGCCCAGCGCAGCCGCCGCGGCGGGGCCGGCAGCACCCGACGGGCCGCACCATGGGCAGCCAGGGCTCCAAGGCGGCGGGCGGAGACCCCGACACCGCCAAGGCCAACGGGCAGGTGGGTACCGGGGGGGGCATCGCGGCGCCGGGACCCTCCCGCGCCCCGTCGGGGCGGGCGGGAGCAGCGGAACAAAGGCGGTGGCGGGGAGGAGGGGGCGGCGGTGATCCGGGAGGGCGGGTTGGTTCTTGTGCCTTCCGACGGGGGGGTTGTTCTACCGCCGGGAGGGACCCTCCTGCCCGGCGGGCACCGGGCGATGCGGCAGCGCCCGCGCCGCGCCCCGGGCTCCCCCCGGCACCGGGCGGGTCCCGTCCGCGCCGCGCCCCGGGACCGGGAGTGGAGCGCGGGCGCCGCCCGGTGGCAGCGGGATGGACCCCCCCCATCCACCCCCCTCCCACCGTGGATATCCCCCTGGTGCGACCCTTCTTCACCCAGGCTCGGTGCACCCCGTTTTCCTCGACTGAATTCCTCCACACCCCCCCCCGGGACCCCCTTTTTCGCCGGTTGGGTGCCCCCTCTCTCTGGCCGATGTTTCCGTTTCCACCGGCTGAAAGCCCCCCTTTTTCCTCGGCTATCCCCGTTTCCACCGTGTGAGAGCCCCCGTTTTCCTCGGCTGGGCACCCCCTCGGTGCCCAGTGCGCTCCTTTTCCCCGGCTGGGAGCCCCCCCCTCTGTGCCCGGTGTTTCCCGTTTCCACCGGCTGAAAACCCCTCTTTTTCCCGTCTGGATGCCCCCCCGGTGCCAGGTGCATCCCTTTTTCCCGACTGGTTGCTCCCCAGTGCCCGGTGAGCCCCTTTTCCCCCATACGGGTGCCCCCCGCCCCATCCCCGATACACCCCCTTTCCCCGGATGGAAGCCCCCTCTGTCTGTGCCCGGTATTCCCGTTTCCACCGGCAGGAAAAACCCCCTTTTGCCCATCTGGATTCCCCCCCTACCACCACCCCGTTCCGTTTCGCCTCCCCTTTTTGGGGTTGGGGGCTTGGGGGTCGCGGTTTGGGGTCGCGGTTTGAGGTCGGGGTTTGGGGTCTAACGCGGAGCTGCTCCATCCATCTCCCCCCCTCCCCGCAGGAGAACGGCCACGTGATCTACAACGGGGACATGACGCCCAAGGTGGGGGTCGAGGTGTCCCCCCAGAACGGGAACGGCTCGGCTGAACCCCCCAAGGAGGAGAGCGAGGGCGAGCCGGGCGGGGGGGACGCCATCGAGCCCGCCCCCCCCGCCGACGGGGGGGACCCCAAACCCGAAGAAGGGGCCGCGGCCCCCAAGGACGCCCCCAAGAAGAAGAAGAAGTTCTCGTTCAAGAAATCCTTCAAGCTGAGCGGGATCTCCTTTCGGAAGAACAAGAAGGAAGCCGGGGACTCCTCTGGCTCCTCTCCCACGGAGGAGCAGGGCAAGGGCGAGGAGAGCCCCGCGGGGGGGGTGCAGCCCTCGGCCCCCCCCGAGGAGGGGTCGGCGGAGGAGCAGGGGGGCCCCGGGGAGGGCAGCGAGGGAGCTGAGCCCAAGGGGCAGGAGGGGGAAGCCGGCGGGAGCAAGGAGAAGAAGGAGGAGGAGGAGGAGAAAGAGAAGCAGCAGCAGCAGCAGGCGGGGGAGAGCCAAGGAGACACAGCCAAACCCGAGGAGCCCTCGAAAGCCGCGGGGGCCGAGCCCACAACAAGCCCCGCGGCGGCGGTGGAGCAGAAGGAAGAGTAGATTCCACTTGGCATCGTCCTCACTGGAGACTCTCACGCCGTCCTCTCCATCCTGGAACACCACGGACTCGCCCACACACCCCCCCCAAGCCCACCTAGAACTGACACCACTCCCCAGACCCCACACGCCCCCCTCGAGGTATCTCCTCCTTTTCCCCCCCCCTCCCCTCCTTTTTTCCCCCCCTGGTAGAAAAAAGCTGGTTTGGATTCCCACACCACTGCCACCACTTGGAGTAGTTTTACCTGAATCCTTTTAAAAAAAAAAAACTGGGGGAGGAAGATTGTTATCCTGGACATTCACTGGAGTTTTACAGTTTGTAAGAAAAAACAGATCCCACGTCCTGCTCTGGATCTCTGCGGCCTCCAGACTGTCCCTTCTCCTCCCAGCAGCTTTCCAAGCCCACTGACTGTTCAATGGATTTTAATTTTTTTTTCTTTTTTTTTTTTTTTTGTTGTTTTGTTCTTTATTTCTCAGTTTACATTCCTGGTTCTGACTTCATTTAAAGTATTTTGTGCTTTTTATAGAAATCGATGGTTTAAAAAGCTAATCTGGTTAGTTTTTTATAATGTCTTATATTGGCTTAAAACCATAAAAGCTTGTAAGTCCGCTGTGTTTAATTCTGCTTCTAAGGGATAACTTTTAGGGTGTGGGGTGGAGAGAGGGGGCCCTGCCAGCTGTATAATGTGAAGCAAAACGTTGTTTTCTCTGTAAATAATTTTTTTAATGGCCAAACCACTTGATTTGCAATTTTCTAACTTGTAAAAAAAAAAAAAAAAAAAGCAGGAAAAAAAAAAAGAAACCAAACCACAAAACAAACAAAAAAAAAAAGCTGTACGGGGCTTTCTTGTAACATTTGAAAGGAATAAATGGTGACCCCTTTATGGGAGAGCTCGAGTCCTTCTTGTCCTGGATGCCAGGGAAGGGCCAAGGGAAGATGGCAGTTGCTTATTTAGTTCAACAGCTGCTGCATTTAATCACTGCTCACACTTAATTGACTTGCAGCAGATGTAGAGCCACAGCCACAAAGGACTTTCCCACACCAGCCCTGTCCCTACCCCCGGATTGCTGCTCAACTGGCTGCTGGGGACCTGTTTTTGTAGAGATCCAACCCGATTTTTCCTGGTGGTGTGGGGGGTGGGTGTTGAAAAATCCGGTATTTTTCTCGTAAGGAAGGTTTACTGGGAGAAATTCCCATTTTTGAGCGTGGTTTCTCTGATTTAAATTGGTTTTGTTGGTTTTTTTTTTAGTGGCTTTAGAGTAGGATTAGCTCCTCTCTGCTGAAAAGAGCACAAAAGGCGCGCGCTGGGAGCAAAGATTTCCTTAACAAAGGGAAATCCAAGGGCACAATGGTGCCTCTATCCCTTCTCCTGTCACCTGCACAGGGCTCGAGGTGGCTTTTCCCCGAGGAAAGGTGGCTTTTTTCCCCAAGGAGGAAGGAGCACAGCCTGGGGGAGCTGCTCCTGCCAGCCCCTCCATTTCATGGCCTGCTCCCAATTCCCATCCCAGCTCCCAATTCCCACCTGCTCCTGCTGTTTTGGCTGGCAAAGAAGATGGAGAAGAGCAAAAAAAAACCATTGTTTGCCCAACAGGCACCACCCTGGGAAGGGGTAAGGACCATCCGGGCTCCTCCCGAGCCTCGAGGTAGGTGGAAATGCCCCAAAACTCCTTGTTTTTTGTGCAGCACATCCCTCTGGGAAGCAAAAACAAGGGACCTGCTTCCCAAGGGAGCAGGGGAGTCATCCCTAGTCATGGAGGGGGGGTGGTGGTTGGAAACAAATGGGGTGTTTTGCCCCATTTTGAACCAGACCTGTCCTTTCTGAGCCTGCCCGGGGTCTGTCACATCCCGGTGCATCCGCCCGAGCTGCATCGTGGCAGCCATTTTAGGAATCCCTGGAAAAACAGAGGGACTGCGGATGCACTCGGCATCGGGGTGACAGGATTGGAGGGGGGCTTTTGTTCCAGGAGGGGAGGATTTGGTCCTGTGCTCCGGTGAAAGGGATAACGGGGTTCCCCCCGACGGGGGGGATGTTTGGGAAGTCAACCCTGCCCACACAAAGCTGCTTTTTTTTTTTTTTTAGCTGTAAAAAAACCAGCAGAGTTGGCTCCTGTGGCCATTTCAGGTGTGATCAGCTGCACAATTAACCTGCTCCTAATTAAATTAGAGAATTTTTGTTGGCTCCGACGCAAGGTAAAACCACTTCAGCTCATCCAAATGGTGAATTAAGTTCAGCCCTTCCCATCATTTATTATTCCTTTTCCAGACGAGCTTTGAGCATCACAAAGTGCTGCCAAGTCCAAACCCAATTAAGCAGCAGGGATGCTGCTGGAGGAGAACCCAGCTGGAATTTGGGAGAGACAGAAAAACCACCCCAGTGACCCTCGGTTGAAGCTGTGAGCAAATAATAAACCCCCCAAAAAACTGTGGTATTTTGAGTCACCTTTCCCAGAGAGAGGAGCCAGGGGGAGAATTTCAAGGCTGTTGTGGAAAATCCAAGGGAAAAGGAAAAAAACAAACACCCCCCCAAAAAAAACAAAACCAACCCCCCCCCCCAAAAAAAACCCCCCCAAAACAAAAGAAACAAAAAAAAACCACCAAAAAACCCCCAAAACAAAAACAAACAAAAAAACCCCCAAAACAAAAACAAACAAAAAACCCCCCACAACAAAAACAAAACAAAAAACAAAACCACAAAAAGAACCCCAAAAACAAACAAAAAAAACCCCCAAATAAACCCCCCAAACATTTACAAATTACACTAAAGCAGTTTTTCAGGGAAGAGGGAAAAAAAAGTAACAAAATCAGACATTTATAAAAGAAACTGATTTTTCACCGAGTAGATTCTAAACAAAACATTTTGGTGGATGGGATCAAACACCCCTCTTCCCAAATATTGTCACACCTGGAATTTTTTGTTGGGATCTGCGTTACATCCAGCTGTGGCTCTGAAAATGAACTGACCCTCCCCACCCACCAACGTGTCCCCTCTGAGCAGAAAGCAGGCCAGACTCACACCAACCATAGAAATGTACCAGTTTTTATTAAAAAGATTCTCAAAATTCAAAATAAACGCATCTTTAAAAAACCACAATATATTTCCCCTC